AGTTTTTACACAGCTGAATAAACGTCAAGCAGACAGCTGATTATCAGAAGTGTGAGATGCTGGAGAATATACTCCAGTGTCCTGTTTTAGATAGCAAGGAGTTTAGTGAACTTCACTGAAACAATCTGCAATCCAATTCATTAAAATTTAATAAACTGTCATCTTGTCTTTATTTTTAGTTAGCACAGACCTTAAACACTTAAAGCTGAAAGCTAATGATAGTTATATAAGAGCAGATGCTGCCGGTGCAAGAAGCTGTACGTTTTACGTCCAATGGATGATGATCTGATTAGTCGACTAATCGCAAAAATAATCGGTGACTAGTCGACTATCAAAATAATCGTTTGCGGCACCCTAGCTGAAAGCAGCCGTCCTGTTTTACATTGGAGCAATACCTGTAGCAAACAGGGGTGAGTCTAAAGGGGGGTGTTGGGTGTACTAGACCATGTATTATCACAAGTATTTCTTATCTGATTGCTCGATTAATTGATGCATTAATCAATAGATTATCCATCAATGGCTGCACCTCCCTGAACCTGTTTCTTCCTGTTAAAAAGGGAGTTTCTCCTTCCCACTGTCGCCAAAGTGCTTGCTCATAGGGGGTCATATGATTGTTGGGTTTTTCTCTGTATGTATTATTGTAGGGTCTACCTTACAATATAAAGCTCCTTGTGGTGACTGTTGTTGTGATTTAGTGCTGTATAAGTAAAATGGAATGGAAGAGATTACTCTATTACTAAAATAATCAATAGCTGCATTGTAGTGCAGCTGCAATGTGTATACATGCAGTTGAGTGAATGAAAGGTTGTAATTTTAAAACCTAGGAAAATCTAGGATTATGTGTTCCATGTATGAAAGACTTGTCTGTCTACTTAATTACTGTCTTAATGAAAGCACAGGTGTGGTCAGAACTGTGAACAGTAACTCCAACTGGGTGGATGTAGTAAATTCATAAATATCAAGGTGTTCAGCAGCAGTGAACAGCCTGCTTAGGATGGAGGACACACACTTGCTTGGACCTCTGACACGAGTGATAAATTATTGAGTGGTAGCCTATTTAAGTTTGAATGTGGAGTTATTTAAGGAGGATCTGTTGGCCTAGTTGGACAGCAGAGGAGATGTATAATAGCTGTGGAGAGATATATAGTATGAACACACAAAGATCTACGGATTTTTCAATAACGTCTTATGAATACACAGCTACATTCTTGATTTATTTACTTTGACTAAGATCTAGATCACACTGCCCACTCACTGCAGGAACATTAGGCCAGAGGGCTGTTCTCCAGTGGTACTGCTGGAAGTAAACAGTGCAGTCTTGCAAGCAAGAATGAGCAATAAAGCACTGAGAGGAGATTCAGTTGAACAGTTTGGACCTTTACACTTCCAGCACCTTAAAAAAAGTCCACTTCACAGTTCAGCTTCCTCTCTGCAGTAGATAAATCTGAAAATGAGAAAGAACTGCTTCTCGTCTTTGTTCTCTTTAGTCTCATACCGCTCTGAGCGTACAAATGACCCCTTGGAAACCGCAAATGTAGGCCACAGTTTGAGATCGGTAATGCCCATCCCAATCAGTTGTTCTGTGATTGTTCTGTGTTTTTGGCCCACAGACAGTTTTACAGCCAAGCTAGTGATGTCAGTGCAGCTTGTTCCTTGTTCTCCATCCTGAAACTCTGGATTAGACTGCTAAATAAGGGCCAATGTCGTGACCTTTTGTTCTAGAGTGTTCTCTCCCATCGTTTCACCCACTCGACCACACACACACCACACAGAGGCGCACTTGTCTATCATCACTGGGACTTGATGTCTAAAAGCACTGCATCTTCTGTTTTTAAACATTAATTTGATAAGTTAGCCCGATTAAAGATTTCCACAGCCCTAAATGGGGGTGGGGCGGGGGGTTATAACTGTTTAACCAACCCAATGAATGACCAAGCAAGGTCATCTTGACAGGGGGATTTAACCTCTCTTATGCTCTAATATTGTTACATCACCTCAAATGCTTTCTGATAACTTACTCAGCACATTGTTGACCATATTCATAACTCCATTTATACCATTTGAATGAACACATCTAGCCCTGGGGGAAGTTATACAATCAAGATTCATTGTTCATGATGTCAACCGCTAATGTGGATACACAGGGGCTTTTGTATTTAAAGCTTATCCACACCAATTTTTCCATGTCACTGACCAGCAGCCTGGATAGAATATGCTTCTGTTAAATCTTTAATCCCAGGTCATGTTCATTGAATTCAATATTAATTTTTCGTGCAAAGAATTTTTCATGAGTTTTGCATAATTTTAATGTTTAACCCGTCTTTCTGTGATTTCCTGCTGTGTGTGTGTTTGTATCTGTTTGTGGCAATCACATAATCTGAAATTATTTTACACTCAAAATATTCTGATTTGGATTATAACATCAGGAAGGTGTTTACTAAATGACAGTTTCTACATTTATTGTTTCAGCTCTCTGGTTGATAATTATGTGTATGTCCGGGTCAGCGGAGAACGTTTTAATGAAAAGCAGCTGAAAGAAGCAAGCAAGGAAAGTTGGGTTCTTATATATAAATGTCTAAGATAAGAGATGAATTTTCTGCATTCATATATAAACATCCAAAATTGGAGTTTTAATAAATCAAAACAATATTTCCCGATGGTAGCATGGTTTCCATCCATTCTCTTCCACGTATCCAATTCAGGGTCGCTTCTAGAAAAGTCCAAGTATGATTGTGATGTGATGTGAAGGCAGAAATGAACAGAGTCCTCTCTTAACATCACCATGAGCTGAGCTGCTGCTTATTTTTCCAGCTCCTGTGAAACATTAGCATCACTTGTATTTTTTATGTGTTAATAGCAAAGGATGGTCAGGAGATTAATAATTGTCTGTCAGGCTTCCATATAATTTAATCAGTATTTCACACACCTACACGTAAAGATAAGCTGAGCTACGGGGTGATAATTAACTGCATGCTGGGATAAAGGATATTTTCACTTCTCAATTGAAGCTCTGTCATAAAAACTGAGACTGAAGCTGTTTAAAAGTCTACGTTCTGCACTTGGTCTCACTTAGACACACACACGCTCTCTTACTTCAGGGAATCTCGTGAGTCATCCTCCTAGGTCTGCACATGTGACGATGCAAGAATTTCCCAACAGCCAATCAGGGCTTTTTTTAACAGAGGTGTTTCCATAGTGACAGTACAGTGACAGCAGCAGATGCTGAGAAGACCAAAGGAGAGAGGCACAGGAAAGGGCAAACAGGGTGATGTTGTTTCCTCATGACAGTGAATCTGGTTTAACCTTTAATCCACGTTCCTTTCTGGGTTTTTGTAGTTGAGGTCAAACTTGTGTCTAACGCAATGTGAGCATAAGGTGTAGCCTGAAGACATAGCTGATGATTTTACACAGGAAAAAATATCTGTTTATAAAAGTCATGTTTTACTAAATCAACAAAAGAAATCCTTGAGCTGGAGCATAAAGTACAGCTTGTTCACATGCTGTCACCTACCAGAATGATGATGAGTTATTTCTGTCAACATATTTATTCCCCCTCCCACCTTCTCTCCTACATCCATCTCCTTCCCGTCTCCCTTTCTTTCTTTTTACTGGCAGATTCATTATCACTCTTCTTCTTTCCCTTCGGCTCGCTCGCTTGACCTTTTCCTCATCGTATTCACACCTTCTTACATGATCTTAGCCTTAAAACCGGAGCTGCGGCAAAAGAAACTCAATAGTTTGTTGTCGAGTTTAGGTTGCACTAGAAACACGCAGCATCAGCTCGTCTTTTTCCATCACCCTGTTTCCTTCTCTGTAAAAGTGGCTCGTGCAGGCCAATCAAAGGATTTTCCTGCACCTACAATCGGACATGTGCTCTCTGTGAGTCAAAGGAAAAACAAGACGGTGATTTTTCCTTCTGGTGTGTGTTGCGTGTTCAGTTTTTCACAGAGTTTGTGTGATATGGTTGAGTTAACATCCAGAAACCTCCGCAATTAAATAAAATGTCTTCTGGTGGTTATTTTTCTATATTAATAATCAATTTTTGACCCATTTCTGTGACCTTTCTATATTTGCAGAGTACACAGACCCACACGTATCATACATGTCAACTATGTGCTCAGTGTGTTTACAGCTGTGGATGCAGTCTGACATTTAAAAAAGGTTGAGTATCTGCCATTTAGAAGCAAAATGCATTCACTTGTTAATTTTTAATTTATTTTTATTTTATATCAAACAGCAAAGCTCCACGTGCTGCATACCTTGTGGTCTGGTTTCTCCTTATTACAGTCTTGGAATGTGACTATCATGCATCGGGACATTGCTACGTCAACGAGAAAATGATACATCCTCAAGCCCGAATTTAAACCCTCGTTCCCGTCCTTCTCCCTCCTTCTCGTTTCTCTTGTCCACTCATCGCCCCCTCCATCTGTCCGTCAAAGAAATGTTTTTTCCCTCCCTCCTGAAGACTACATCTGTGCTGTCAATGTGTTACTCATTAGCGTCGTCTATATTTGGATATCTAATTGAACAAACTGTGACATCTTGGTTCTGCCTTGCAAACACAGAGTATATACAGCTTTATATGAAATGATTTTATCTCTGCAATCACTGGAAGTCCCTGAAAAATAAAAATATAGGATATGTTCACATGTTATTCTTATAACTGTAAACCTAACAGTGAAGTTGGCCGTCTTCATTGGACTCCATCGTGAGGCTGGTTAATGTCAGCGTGTATATTTCCACTCAGCATGAGATACAGATAAATAAAGTTTCACGTTACTACCCGAAATCTTTATTACAAAATAAACATGCATCGCATTACCCTTTAAGAAACCGCTTTGGTAAACATTTCTGGATTATGCTACACCCGCAGTACAGGTGGACTGTGGTTACCTGTGCTGTAACCTTTGTTGTTCCGTAATGTAATCCTGTTTTTAAATCTAATTGTTTTAGTGCTTGTAGTGCTCCTCATTTACATCCTTTTATATTTCTGTCTGCAGATCACAGAGCTGTTGGATGATGAGAAGTGTGAGGCAGAATGTGAAGAGCTGCCTCAGGACGGGGAGGACGGCCCTGCCTCCGACTCACCGCAACGCACGCACACCGATGACAACCCCGCAGTCAGGTGCGGTCACACATCTCTGTCTTTGTTATTAGATCACATGATGTGTCAGAGTCATATTAGGCAGAGGATATGACATGTGATAAAGGGCATGACATGTCTTGGATTAAAAACCAAGACGTTCCAGTTCTGTGTTATTTTTCGACAGCCCTTCAGGCCAACTAGCAATGTGGTCACTTTATCAGCTGCTCGTCTCAGTCTGATTAAGAGAGATTTTGTTTGGTCTGTAATGGACTCTCAGTGTAGGAACAATAGCTCATTCACTCATCGAGTTATTTCATTTTATGATGCCCTAGAAACAGTGATTTTTAAAAAGACAAACAAATATTTTAATCCCAAGGCGCACCAAAAGACAAGCCAAACTTTCAAGGCACACCTGCATGCCTACATGTGGAAAATAGCTTCTTTCATGTGAAATATCAGTTCCTCTTTTATTTATATATTAGCAGAAATGGGCATCTTTTACAGCACATTTGTAGCATCTGGATCGTAACGCCTACAGATTAGTTACTTCTACTTTGCTCCACACAAGAAAGCAGTCTGTTTTATGTTCTCAGTCAGACCCTTTTGATGTGTACTAATATAGACAATTTAGTGTTTTTGCAGTTGCAATGTATTTAGTTCAGTGTATGCTTCTGAAGTTAACTGGATGATATCTTGTTTGAGCTGTGGTCCCATTTTAGCCCACTGTGAACATATTTAACTGTGTTATAGTATAAAAGGTCAGCAATGACAGCAGGGATCAAGTTGGAGTATGAGTGTGTCTATCTTTGGTATTAGCAGTTAATTTTTTGTTTGTGGTTCAATACAAAATGTTTTCCGTGACTGTGTTTATATTTATGTGAGCTTTATTAGAGGAAGATTTAAGGTTGCAGCTATTGTACCACAGTGCACAGACTGCCAGTGAAAACAAAGGGGGGATTACATGCAGTAAATTCTTTAAATTAAACAATGCACATCAGATGGTTTTGATCCTGAAGTCACATGGGATTGATTTTAGTTGGTATTAAATCTCGGTTAGCCGTGGCTAGCCTGCAGCCATCATCCCTTTGACCTCGACTAACCTCTTGTCTGGTCTGGGGGGGATTACTGTGGTATTTGTAGACCATGGAGCATCCAGTGTACTCCGCAGAGCCATTTCAATAATGCACAGATTTAGAGATTGTTTTTTTTTCTTTTTTAATTCCTAGTCCTATTTAGTCCTCTCGAGTCTGGTTATGTGAAAAAAATTTTTTATTTTTGTGTTTTCAGAGTTGACATTTTCATAGGCTTGTTAAATTAAATGCATAAATGTTTAGAATTTGAGCATTAAGGATGGTACTGGTTATGATTGGATGGGTTTGTTTTTTGTTTTCTACGATTATAACCGCCAGGTTTTTGGAAGCAAGCTGGAAACACTTACAGTCGGGTCTATTAATTTAACCCGCGTGCTTGATCCAGAGCCAGTCCTGACCTCTCTGGGGCCTTAGCAAAGTTCTGCCAAAGGATCTTCCTGACAGATCCATGACTCATTTTAACTATTTATCATTGCCACATAATTACACCAGTGATCCCACTACAAACCTAACTCCCTAAACCATTTAAGGATAAGCACTGCTAGGTAGAACACAACGAGATGTGGACGATAAACAGTGTCGTTTCTATAGAACTACATGAAGTTTCAACATCAGATTTGGAGACTTGTCTAATTTTCTGTTAAAATACACAGAAATGTTTTTGTTGAAAATCAGGTTGGGCTGTTTTTTTGTCCTCAAACCTTTTTTTGAGTTGAGCTTGCTGTTCCATATATGTATATGCCATATGCTTTGACAAGGCTCCAAAAAGGTAAGTTCCCATCTAGTGATTCAGCGTTAACGGTGGCTCAGTTGTTTGTCTAGACTTGACAGACAGGGAAGGCTGTCCTCTGTGGCTGTTGCTGTGCCCTCTTAATAGACTCTGACAGCCAACACACACACACACCTTAGATTCCGACAGCCTCTACTCATTTCAGATCTATATATATATTCCCTGGAATTTCTCTTCTGATCTCTCTTCTTACCCCATCACTACTTCCCTCCCTCTCTGCCCTTGCTTATGTTCTCTCTCCATGTGTGGAAAGTATTTTTCATGGGATCACTGAAATACCCTGGCAGCATGAGAAGCATCACCCTTAGAAAGCACGTCTATGGCTAAAGGCGGGAGGAGAGCGATGGATTAATGGAGGGAATGGAGATTCAGGCAGCTAAAAGCGCCACAGTGAGATAAGAACTGGAAAATGTCCCTACTTGTGAACGATTTATTGATTTTCAATCTAAGTGATAATGCAATACTAGACCTCAGGAGGAAAAATGTCAGCCTGACAGTAGATTTTAAAAACATTAGCAAACGTTTGTCTTCAATTTTACCTTTGAAGACAAGTTGGCCTCAATTTTTTACTTTTTAGAGCGTCGTACCAGTCTAGCGTGACTGACCCGTGTAGCTCTTCGTGAAGCAGATTACATCTGTGTACATAAAAATCACGCATGAGATTATTTTGTGTGACTGTGGAAATGATTCGTATATCTCACTGGGACACCATACCAGGCTGGAGAGCCTTGTTCTGTCCATTTGTGCCAACAATTTTCATGTGCACGCACACATATATGTCTGACCTCGTCCCTTCTGGGTCACCTGCACTGGCTTTGACCAAACTGTCAATGGTCACAACAATTTGGATATTAATAATCATGAAACTGATCTGTGTTGGTCTGGTCCTAGTTTTGGGCAATGTGCAAAGGAACTGTTTATATGTTTGGGAAACCTGCAGTGAGCTGAGACTGAAGAAGTCACTTGGATGAGTGATGAAATGTTTCTCCAACTGAAAACCCATCGTTCAGATGAACAGAATCAGCTTTTGGGGATTTCCTTACCTGGATGATTGAGCATGCATCGAGACAAACAGTCACTTACTTTTTTACCTGTGTGAATTGGATGTTGAAAGCTTGGTTGTGTATTCTGTATCGTTTTATGCCATATTGCACTGGCCCAAACTGACCGCTGGAGTCCTTATCAGGTGTAAATCATAGCCACTGTTTTGGATTAACAGGCACAAATTGTACCACAGTCCCCTTACAATTCTTCCCTCGAGTTTGCACAGTGTAAAAGGGCCTTTAAACTCTCTGCACACGAGGAACAGAAAGGAGACAGAAACCATGGTTAGTTTTACATCCTCATCCAGAGCTGAAAGCTTGTGATAGCACGATCTATCACAAATGCTGAAAGAATCCCATCATGTATAAAAAGGAGAGAAAATGTCCCAATTCAAACCACCCTGTCTTGTTTTTCAAAAGCGAAAAAAATAATTGCCGGATTTTTGTGTTCAAATCCAACACATAATTAGCTCTGCTTCCCAGGGCTTTGCTGCTTCCTGGTACAAATTGATAAGGTAAACCTGTTCTGGGCTGTCTCTGCTCTGCAGTCTGCTTCCAGAAATTTTATAAATAACAATCCTTCAGTAAGTATTGACATGTGTTGATGCTGTTCTCCGTTAGGTTTTCCTTACTTGCACCCTGCCCATGCTTAAGGTAACCATGACTCGAATATGTTGGCTATAAGATCTCTGCGTGACCTGTACATGGACTGTATATAGGTCAGTACAGGGGTATCAGCTTTTTGTTTTTGGCGTTTCAACCTACTTAATCGATAGTCATGTTTGCTTTATTTTCAAAAGCTGACACCAAAAGAAAAAAGGTAGATATGCACACAGACCAAGTTGTTTTTAGATTCTTTTCTTTTCTTTCTTTATTTAGCATTTTTAAATTGTGATGTATGTTTCTATAGCAAAAGGAGTGTAATGCACACAGGAAGTGAGGGATCAGTACATAATCAAAACATTTAAAAGGATACACAGAACTAGTCAACACTGTCATACTGTGTTTTCTTCAGCACGAGAGGATTACTGTAACAAAGAGGTCTGGAACATGGAGGGGGCTGGATCAGCAGGTCAAGGCAGTGGAAAAGTAATAGGAGACATAAAAAAAATGTACAACGCAATCAACGCTAAACAAAACTGTCATTGCAGTTAATTTAATGACAGAAAGCTGTTGCACAGCTGTTGTCAACTCCACTCTCCATGCATCTATTTCACTGTGACACTCATGGAACAGAGATTAGAGTGAGCTGGAAACGATAACACAAGCCTTCAGCTTGAAACACCTAAAGGAGAAAACACACAGCCACAGCAGCACTGCAACATGGCATATGATGTGCATCAAGTGACACGAACAATGGCCAAGCGTGACTCGGACCACGTTAAACAACCTGTCTGTGAGGGACAACAAAATCCCATGTGCATCCACCATTTGAAATTTGATTTCTTAGTTGTAGAGCCAGTCTGCAGAGCCACACCTTACCAAGTTTATAAGTGTAGGTGAAGGGTTATTGCAGTTGTGTGAAATGTCACGCACATCATTGTGTGACTAGTCACAGCAGGGTTTCTAATTATACAAAGAAAACATTAGAAGCTGCTGTTTTGACACATGCCATTCAGCAGCGGTGTGTTTCTGGCTTTAATTAAATGTTTCTATATCACTGCATTAAGTTGATGGGACTGGTTTCTTATGGCTTGGTGAATTGTTGTCAGTACAACCCAGTGAACCCATTAATAATGTTCAAACAGGTCTCCTGGTCCTTTCACCCTTTGTTTCTAGACTGTGGCCTTGGCACTAGCTTCGGGCACAGTGTGTAAAATGATATACCAGCTGACCCAGATTGTACCGCTCATTGATGTGCTATCAGTGCTCATCCACAGTTCGGGGACAGCTGTTCTATCTTTCCAAAGAGTGCTCACGTTTCTAAATCACAATAGATAAAACAGTTATTCTGATTGGCTCTGAAGCCTCTTTGTCAACATGCTGCCCTGTTGTGTCTGTATCTTATAAATAGAAGATAAAGTTTTAGTTTAGGCGTCACCAAAGTCAGCGGTAATGCCAGGCAGGCTGAAAGTCAAAGTAGTGTTAATGATTCATGAAGAACGCTTCATAACA